TGAGAGCCTGCCTGTTGCCATGCCCCCCCCTCGCCATGATGGTCTTGGACTCACCCCCTGAAACTTGAAGCCCCCAAGAAACCCTATAAATTTCCTTGGTCATGTTGTCTCAGTGCAGCAGTGTAAAGGTAACTAAAATGTAGCTAAGACACCTGACAGCCTGAGTTCAATCCCCAGGACTCACATGATAGGACAGAACCCAGCTCCCACAAGTTGTCTCTGGCTTTCACACATAGGTTATGTCATATACATGTATATGCACACATGCTAAATTAAAACATAACACAAAATTTAAAAGATTCAAAGGAAATATTCTTAGCCATATGATAAAGAGAAGGGAAGGGGGAAGATAGGTGGGGAATGAACAGAGCAGAATTCTCTGTGTGCACAGAGCAGACCCCATGGAGTCCAGCAGGTGAAAGGCAACCTTCAAAGGTGGACCTGTCTCTTTAGAGCCCGGGGTCTGTATTTTCAAGGAGATGAGATTTACAAGGAGCTTGAAGACTAGGGAGGAATTTCATACATGTTGATCAGAGAAGGAGAGTCTAAATAGATAGGAACTCAGGAGCACTGATGATTTGGAATGCTGTGTGTAGCTGATGGGCCACGCTATCTGAATCCCAAAGTAGGATAGGAGGCAAAGAGGTCCCAGCAGTACACGAGGTCTTAGAAACTAATGTCTAAGCTCACCCTTGACTTATAAAACCAGAAGCTTTGAGTGTAGGTCACCCCAGGTGGCCATGTACACATTAAACCTTGGGAAGCTTGCCTCCAGGGCTCGTGTTGCCACTTGGGCTTGATCCAATGCTGGGAACCAACAGTACAATTGGGGTGCGGGTGGTGGTTGTTTTCCATATTGGCCCCTGTGGGTGTGGACTGGACATTGGGATGTATCAAATCCTACCATGCAGCCCAATTTGAGAACCAAGGGAGAATGTGCCTTCAGTTAAAGATATGGGGAATTAAGTTCCCAGTTGTGCACAGAGCTGGACTGCTGAGTGATGCAGGTGTGCAAAAAAAATAAAAAATAAAGCTGAGTATTTCCAGAGGCCTCTAAAAGGACTCTCAGTTATGCACTAGAGCCTATACTGGACCTGGAGCTGTGATCTACAAGTATCAGTTAAAAAGTTTCTTAAAATGAAAATAAATTAGTGTAAAAGCATGGGCATGGCTGTGAATTTCTCCCACCTTTAGATATGAAAGGCTGTACCAAACCCATGGAAACAGCCCTCCTTCCAATGTGTCTTAAGTCCCTTCCATTAATTATCTACACTCAGAGGAGGTGATTCTATTTCTGCAATGTCATCACCCTAACCCTTGTCCTCACAACGTCCCATCCATCAGAGGGTGCTCTCATCACAGTTCATTTTCTAGCAGTTGTTTAGCCAAGGTTCTCATCCTTTTGGTGTGGCACTGTTCTTGGCATAGAAAATGTTTATATAAAATGTTATCCATCCATTAGCATTCCCGTACCCATGGAGTTGGAACCCACATTCTGGCTGCCTGACAGCAAACAAGAAAGATTTGAAGGATAACTACTGCTTTTAAAAAATATGTCCTTATAGAAGGACATAATTAACCGAATCCTGTAGTTAAAAACATACCCACTCTAGAAAGACAAAATGTTGGCTTATATTGGGAAGACAAAGGCTTTGTTTTGTAATACAAAATTAACTTGGGAAATTAGGTTATTAGAGAATGTAGACAAACAGATGGGAGTGGTCTCATGTTTGTAGGCTCTTAGTAGAGAGTACTAAACTCTGTGTCCTACAAGTATGGTACGTTAAAAACTTACAGCCTAGCAAGCTGGGAGACATGAGGGAAAGTTTAGGGAATAGTGCTGAGAATTCGTCTTCCCTGAATGAAGAGGGTGACATGATCACAGAGCCATGTAAGCAGCCTGGTGCCTGGAAGATTAGGATTTAATGACAGAGACCAAGGTGTGAAAATCATGATCGACAGGGTTTGCCCACCCTCTGTAATTGGATCTACTGAAGTGAGTCATTTTCCTTCCCTGGAGGAGGTCAAGTGTTGAAATCTCAGAGGAGTGGGTACTTTGGTGTTCTTGGCTCTGATCACTGGTGACCTGGGGCAGAGAGGTCAGTAGCAAACACACATGAAAAAGGCAGCCAGACCCATAACAGGAGAGGGGAAGAGTTGTTCAGGGTGTTTACATGGGACAGGATGTCATGGGTGATCCACCCGGAGAGAAAAAAAAAAAACCTGTCTGGGCAAACAAGCTCAAGGTCACAAGGACACCTCTGTGCCTGGCAGAAGCCAGATTCTAAAGGCGCTCGGTGAGCTGCAGAAAAGAACTAGCTGTTTGTGAGTGAACAGGTGTTTTTATTTGTTTGTTTGTTTGTTTTTCTTACCATCCTTCCTGCCTCACACTGGAATTCCAGACTGTCAGCTTCTCACCTTGACTTCTGTTTCCTGAGATACCCCAGAACAGTGGTTCTCAACCTTCCGAATGCTGCAACCCTTTAATACGTGCCTCATGTTGTGGTGACCCCCCCGCCACAGCCATTTTGTTGTTACTTCATAACTGTAATTTTGCTACCATGATGAATGGTATGCATCTTGTGTGTGGGTCGTGACCCACAGTTTGAGAACTGATGATCTAGAGTCTAGTCTGCTGAGGTATTTCCCAGGCAACCTACCCACCCTGTTGATAAGAACTGGGCCCTTGTTCTCTGAACCCTGTATGATGAACAAGGACATCATAGACAAATTCTCCTTTACATATAAAAATAAGGTGAGGGATGTGTCTTGGGTGGTAAAGTGTCTACAACGCAGGAAGCCCAGGTTTCAGGCCCCACACCATATAACCTAGGCACTGTGATTGGAACAAGATGATCAGGAGTTCAAGGTCATCCTTAGCTACATAGCAAGTTCAAAGCCAACCTAGGCTACATGATACCCTGTTTCCAAAAAAAGAAAAAAAAACCCACTAAACTCACTGCCTGCTGTTCCTCTTTCTACAGGATCATATGTTCCGTACTGCCAGTATTGAGAAATTCACCAGAGATCAGCCAGAAGGAAAATATTTACCAAGAAGGGAGTTTGGAGCTGCTGCCTCTACACATTAATGACGTGATTTTTTTTTAATGCAAAAGGAAAAAAAGAAAAAACTACTCACAGTTTTTATTTAGCATGAGCCAATTTACAGAGCATGGAAATCCACTCTCATTCCCAGGATTGACACGTGTGCACTGAGCAATGCCGTATAAGATACAAGAAGCCATGTTGTTCAGACTTGATCTCAAGTAACTTGGTGTCATTTTCAAAGAAAAGAAAACACAACTGTGTGCCAGGAGGGACAGAAGATGGCATGAACAGATCAAGAAAGAAACTCTAAAATTACTGAATCCACAACAGCTCGCCTTATTTTTCTTGGACCCAATCTGTCAGGGTATAAACACTATTTGTTTCTTTTTTTAAAGAAAAAAATAAAAATAAACATCGATAGTTTTGCTGTAAATAGTAACACTGTAAATTCTAACAACAACAAAAATTAGGATAAATGTTGGTAGGCACCTGCCTCATAGAACACAGACAAGACGTCACAGCCGCATCTAACAACAGGAGTCCCAAGTGACTTGGCCCTGGACAAGGAGGACGACCTGAGATGTGCGGGGACTCTTCACTGACTCTTGTATATTAGCAATTATAATGTTTGTACACGCAAAACTGCTAGCTTGATTTTAAAAAGAAAATGCAAATCTAAAAAAAAAATCTGCTGCAAATTTAAATAATTCCCCAAATGAGGAATTCTGTAGTTCTGTGAAAAAAAATTTTTCTTCAGAATACTAATATTTTGATGCATGCGTATCACCCTTATTTTGATTAAATCTTTTCCAATTTTGCAAACACTACAGTCTCCTGCAACACAGGAGATTTTATCTGTAAACACAAAGCCCTTCATCTAATATTTGTTGCTATTGCCAATTTTTCAATGAAATGACCAAAAATGGAAAAAAAAAAAAAAGAAACCACACAAAACTATACAGTAGTTGCTTGGGGGTGGGAGGGGGTGCTGTTAGTGCTTACAGGGGGAAATGCTTGCCACTGTAGAGGTGGATGGTGCTCACAAGAGGCCCCAGTCATGGGTATTTAAAAATGGACTGACCAGAAACCCATATCTAGGAGAATGGCAGCACACTGTCAAAAGAGACAAAACAAAAAACAAAAAACAAAAAAAAAAAGTCACTGTTATTGTGTACTGGCTCTGAGATGTAGACCCTTTTCAGTAAGCCAATCACTTGTAACCACCCTCACAGTGTCATATTAGGTTAGCAAAGGCTGCATTTTATAGGGCATTTTTTTCTTTGGGTTTCGGTGAGGTTCCTTTATTCACTATCTTCACTTGAAATCAGCCTCCATGGACACCTAGCTCTAGATGACATGTATGAGAGAAGTGGATGCTGGATAACCTAGTCAATTATTTAAGCATAAAATAAATTGTGTTCAACTCTTCAACTACCTGGGCTCTACAGTGTCCTTGTGTCCTCTGGCAAAGCGCAGCTGTCTAAGCCGTAAGTCGCAGGGGTCCCATCTGTGCCTCTGTCTGGTCACTAAAGCAATAGTCTGGAACATTCCGTCCTCCCCTGAAAACCCCTACCTCTGCATAAACTCTTGCATATCCTACAAAAGAAGTCGGGGGTTTATACAGCGCATGTCAAGAAGTTATTGATCGCCGCTCCCAGGAAGCCTCCCATGTAGGTTTTTTGCCACTGGTTTTGGGTTTTTGGTGGTTTGGGTTTTTGTTGTATTTGAGATCAGCTCTCAAATGTTTGTTTAGTTTAAGTGACATTTATCAGAGCCTACAAATTGAGAAATTTTACTAGTAACTCAAGATTTTTACTTTTTTTGTTGTTGTTCAGGACATTGCCCCTAAGGCCTCATACATGCTAAACAAGTAACCTACCACTGGGCGGTACCCTCTGCCTTCTTGTGATATTTTTGAGACAGGGTCTCACTAACTTGTCCAAGCTGGCCTTGACCTTGCAAGCCTTCTGCCTTGTCAACTTACAGGCCTGTGCCACCAGGCTGGATATGACTTCTATTGGGAAGCCACATTTGGCAGCCTCAGGACTCGATTCCAAAAGACACTGAAGCCGTGATCCCGGATTTCTTCAGCCGGATGTGTGATCCCCCAATATACCAGCCCCATTCTTACCTTAGCCTGATAGGCACTCGGAGTTTGGGGCCCATTAACTTCATGAGTCAGAACTCCAGAAGGAAAGATGCCAGGCCATTCCAAATTTTACCCCAGCCCACAGCCGGGCATGGTATAGTAGGGGTGGTGTCTGCCACCATCCCTAAACTTCAAGTACATCACTGCTTGGCTTCTTTCTTCTGAATACATTCCATTCCTCCATTCCGTCCTTAGGACCGTTGTGTGAGTTAGGTACTATCTTAGATCATAACAGGCCCCATATAGAATTAAATGAGTGCTTAATGCCAGCCAAGGCTATCAGTGCCTGTCCATCAAATATTGCCACCAAGTGGGGGTGAATACTCTCCAGAAGGGATGCAATACCAGGCCGATGACAGGTATGGAGAGAGCCTATTTGCTCTAAAAAAGCCACTCTTAATCAAGGAAGAGGAGGGTACATTTGCATGCCATTTGCACGACGGCCCCTCCTTCCATCCATCAGAATCATCATTATAGACAAGCTGACACTCCTGAAATGTCTTTTTTAAAATGTCCTTAAGGATCTTAGCCTACAAATGTATGAGCTATGAATTCCTTGTGAGCGATTATTCAGATCTAGAAACTTCTTACTAGGGAACAAAGGGTTAGGGTTCATGCCTGGAAATCTGCCTGCAGAAACAGGTAAAGGTTTCAGATGATGCCAAAACCATGACGTCTCTAAACTAAGATAGATTTTATTTACATCTCTAACTTATGTATATAAATATATATGCACTGAATGGGGCATATGTTTGTATTTCTAGTATACAGTCTGACCTGCCAGCTTATTCAAATGTATTTAAGTTTTTCTTTGACATTTCTGTAAAAAAAAAAAAAAAAAAAAAAGAAGGAAAAAAAATGAACTGCGACTGATAAAATCCTGAGATTTGCCAGTTTTCCCTTTTATACTTTTACCAAATTCCAAAGTTTGTTAACCTGAAAGGTATTATTGAGTGCATTTACGAAGTGATGGGTTGCTTCTAGAAGGGACTCACTCTCTCCACTGGCCATTCAAGCAGCAGCTGTCTTTCTCACGCTGGCCTTCCCAAATTCCTCCCCCACATTCCACCGTGTTCTTTTTAGCATCACCTTGGGGGTGGTACAATGGAAGTTTCTCTCCACAGTTAATAAACAGCAAAGGAAACGGTGGTTTGTTTGCCTTTATTGGAAGCAACAGCTCACATTTGACTGAGAAGCCCAGAGGGAAGCCACAGGAATAGCAGCAGCCAATGACTTCCTCTGGTTAGAGCTCACAATTTAGAACCTCATGCCTCATCCAGGTGAATCTTGGTATTCGTTTTGTTGGCTGAGCACGGGCACATTAAAAGGTATATCATTTCCTAACCATGTGGCATTGCTTCTCTGACATGAACAGTTAAATCATTGAGAAGTCAACATTTCCAAGGTCAGTCTCTGATGCATATTTTGTAAATTCCTTTTAATAAGAAACAAAAGGCATGGTGTTTTGTTTTGGTTTTTTGTTTGTTTGTTTGTTTGTTTTGAGGCAGGGTTTCTCTGTGGCTTTGGAGGCTGTCCTGGAACTAGCTCTTATAGACCAGGCTGTTTTCCAACTCACAGAGATCTGCCTGCCTCTGCTGCCTACCGAGTGCTGGGACTAAAGGTGTGTGCCACCACCACCTGGCAAGGCATGGTGTCTTTATTTTCATTGGTTCCCTGTTTCCTAAAACAAAAATGACAGTAGATCCTGACAAGCATCCTTGGTAATGGGCCAGATAGCTTTTCATTCATTCAAAGGCAGGTTCACGTGTATCCCAGGCTTTCTGTGTCCTGGAACTTTCTGTGTAGCCAAAAGTGGCCTTGAACTTGGATCCTATTGCCTCTACCTCCTGAATACTGGAATTACACCACTGTACCCAGTTTATGCAGTGTTGTGGGTAGAACTCAAGGCTTCGTACATGTTAAGCAAGCACTCTACTGACCAAACACCCTTTTCCAATGAGCACTCCTTATAGCTGTGTGCCACAAGATGAGCACTGGATCTTCTGTCCCTTGTGCTTCCCGAGTCAGTACTGCATTCCACACTGTAGGACATTCAGAAAGACCTCACTGGGTCTAGTGGAGTTCCATGGCAGAGCTGGAATAGACGTGTTCATAGGATCCTGACGGTAATGAGATGCAGGGACCATGGGGTATACACTGGGAGCAAGAATAGCTGGAACCTTTTCTCTGGGCCCACCAGGGAATTCCAGGGGGAAAATACCCCCTGCTTTGTTTGCCTCCAATACCTACAGATGAGCACTTTGTTATTCTCTTACGCAAGCTGTAAAGCAACAGTGAGAACTGGATGCCACGCTGACCCCTTGGCCCTTTTGCAAGACTTCTGTGTGATGCTCACCACAGGGTCCTTAGAGGAAGCTGTGTGGTCCTTAAGGGAGTACACACATCATCCTGTACCCATGCATACCTGTGCCCAGCTATGCTTTTACTTTAAGTGGGGACCCTTTCACCGGCTATGGCTCTAATCCTTCCCTTCATCACTCACCACCGAGAAAACCTAAACCCTGTAACCGCTTGGCTGCCTCATGATGTTGCTAAGTGCTTGCTGAGTTGCTAAGCACCAAAGGGTGCAAAAATTACATCCAGGACTTCTTTGGGCCACTTCCAGCCTGCAGAGAAGTTTGAACTGAAGGGCAACATTTGGAAGAAAAAAAAATCAAGTGCTTTTAAGGAAAACTCCAGTGAGAATTCTCTTTAAAATATGAAGATGTGACCATGCCATTTCTGGAATTCTCTCCAGCAGCAATTGCCAACCGCAGAGAATGAACATGTGTTTGGCTTATCCATCACAATACCTCCACCTCCCCTTTGTCCCCATTCCCTCTAAAACCTAACCAATTTTATGCACTTCAATTCCCAGTCTCTATTTACTGAGAAAGAGAAGGTAGTAAATTGATGCTGTCCTGCCTAGAATCTTTCGTTAAAAATCCTATTGGGCGAGCTCAGCATCTATCCATTCCATTGTTATCACCTGATGGAATAAAGAGTGAGTCAACAGGAAAAGAAATGTCTACCATTTGCTGATCCAAGTTCATCTAGCCCCCACATTCAGGGACCACCACTATTCAGCACCCCCGCCAGCACGAGCAGCATCAGCCGCCACCCCCCCATCTTCAAAGTGGAGAGGACAGAAACACCACGACAAATAAACCCTAGAAAACATTGAAACGCAGCTTCAGCAGCTCAGTCTGCCTGGTGGATGCTAGGAAAAAGGAGGCTGTGGTGTGAGGTAGAGTGTGGCCCTGTTACCTCTGAGCATGGCCGCTGCACTTGTGAGCCATACTAACTCGCCAAAATGAAGCAGAATTGGAATGAATTATAAAGAGCTTTTCAATATAAACCTTACAACACATTTAAAGTGACTTAACTGGCTCCAAGAATACAAGCGTGTCTCATTTCCCAGGACACTGGATCTAAGTGTAAACAGTTAAACTCACCACAACGTTTTTCTCCCATCCATCAAGACCCACAAAATCTTAACCTCAGTCCAAAACCTCCATTGCCGATGCTTCCCCACAATGGAAACTTGGGTAATACCAAATGAACGCCCCCACGAGTCAGTACTACATATTTGATAGTTTTTCTAGTAGTTTCCTTATTCCTCATGAATAAGGAGGTGGCTGGAAAGATAACTCAGTGATTCAGAGCAGTGACTGCTCTTCTAGCTGGGTTCAATTCCACTCACAACCATCTTTAACTTCTGTACCGGGGAATCCATCGCCCCCATCTGCCCTCCAATGGTACTGCATGCACACAGTGCAGACACACATGAATGCAAAACAACCCTACAGCTAAAACATAAATAAAGGGGGGGGGTAACAGCTAAAACATAAAGGGGGAGTGGGTAACCTTAAAAAAAATAAAACAAGGAGGACCATGCTACTCACAGTTCAGTGCACACTGGGCTAACAGAGCGTGTGTTCAGCTTCACACGCCTAGATTTGCATGGTTTCCCTGGTAGATATATCTCAGGGCTGCTGCTCATGCCTGATAATTCAGTCTTGTGCATAGATCACTGTAGGCTGTCAGAGCTTAGATCAGTGAAGGTCAGAGATGCAGACACCACGGCTCAGCTCGATCATCTCTGCTCTTGTTATGTCTTCCCCAAACATAGCCTGAAGAAAGGAAAAGGAAAAGGCTACAAAGGTGCTGGGAGATGTCCAGTAGGTGAAGTGCTTGCTGCACAGAGGTGGGGAGCTGAATATGACCTCCAAATTCCATATGTTGAACAGCCAGTCATAATCAAACACCTGTTACCCCAGTACTA